TGCGGTAGACCGCGCCCAAAGCCACGGCCCCGGCTTGGGTCAGCGCACGCTGCCCCGACTCGGCTACCTTACGGTACCGGGGCCCTGGCTTTGGGCGCGGTCTACCGCAGGTGGCTTCTGCTCATACTTTGTGGTGCGGTGGTGGTGCGTCGGGCCGCGCGCTCTGACTTCGGCCAAGAAAAATGCGTCAGCTGATCATTGTCATTTCTGCCACTTTCATGTGGTGAGATGGGGTCATGACTTTAAGAGACGGCTCTTTCATATCAATTATCTTACATAAAATAATATTTCAAATCATAAATTAATGTTCGACAGCCAAATTAAAGAAACAATACCAATACAGGCTTACAGTTTAAATTCAACATTGTGTTGTCTACGATTAGACAGCTGATAACTCCCCGTACGTCGTAACTCTATAATGACCTTTGCTTATTGTCACATGTGCGCCGCATTCGCGATTGTTGCCGACGCCTGTTTGCAGGTCAGTCCACTACAGTTGTTATATCGAAAAACCGATAAACTTTTAGGCGAAAAAGCACAATTTTAGGCCCATTTTTGATTTTTTTGCGATATTAGGTAAAAACAGAAGCTTCTTATCCTAGGTAAAATAATATGGGAAATCATTGGAAGGTGGCACACTACCTTTAACAAGCAATTCTAAAGTTCTTTATGTGGTTGTGTAGAGAAAAGACGGCGCTACAAAACTGCTATCTGGGATTTTCGAAATTTTGGGATTTTAACCCCCAAAAATACAAAAATGATTTTTTTAGAAAAAAACTAAAAAAAAACATTTTTTTCGAATTTCAAAAAACCGGAATATATGTGATAGTCCCTGCGCTCTTCGATATACATACCAAATTTTAAATCGATACCTCTTTTTTGGCCAAGTTATAACGAAAAAAACTGTTAAAAATTGATGACGTCAAATTTTTGAACTCAATTTTTAGCAATTCTAGACCATGTAGCGCAAAACGGAGACCGCCATTGAACTCCCCGTGACGAGCTGCATCGAATCAATACCCATTTTATGCAAACATATCAACTTTGAAATTTGACCTTATTTGATCCGACCTTGACCTGACCTTGACCCGACATTTTCCAAAACATAAGCTCAACTGACCCCAAGGGCTGCCTGTCCCACATAATCGCATTTAGCATATATAAAATGGACCATAAAACATGCATCACATGCTATTTTTAATTTGTGACCCTCAGTGACCTGACCTCTGTGACCTGACCTGGTATCAGTGACCTCAGATAGCAAAATATGTGTTTGAGGAACATTTCCCCATCGATGATTTTCAATGAAATGCATTTTACTCGATTTTACAACGCATTTCTTGAAATGCCTGTAAACGGTGAAAATTCGACCTTTGACCTGACCTGCGACGTCATCGGTTTGACCGAGGTCAATGAAATTGGGTCACAAGGTAGTTCCCCGTTGGGGCTATCCAACGCCGTTTGCCGCTTGTCGCTATGTTGCGTGGTTCTCGAGATCTTAGGGGGGGGGCCAAAATGCCCCCCCCCCCCATCAGACCGCGTTGCTCGGCAGACCCCATCAGGGCGCGGGTTAATAAGGTGTTGATATAAGCTTAATTGTGACATCACGCGTCAGCGACCCGTTACATTTGCAAAACATCAGCGTGGGTTGTGGATAACAGCTGCAGCCGCGCAGCGAGAACGTATGTAATCAGGACCCGGGAGGCTAGCTGACTAGTTTCGCCGAGCGTGTTCCCATGCGTCACATACAGCGCGGCCATTCTAATCCGGTCCGGTCGGTGGCTGGGCGGCTGGATCTGCTCTTCATGCGCCGAGCATTTGCCGACAGTAAATCAGCCGGCGCTGGGCGGCACGTGCCGTTCCGGCGAGCGGAGCGTGGCCGCCAGCCCGAGCAGCCGCTCACTCCCCGGGCCCATCGGTCACCGGAGCCCGGAGCGATGGTGCACAGCGCTTCCGGCTGGGTCACCAGATGGCCAGGGCACGCGCAGTCCAGGGAGTGTTGATAGACCTGGTCCCGACTGATCCGAGCGCTGCCGTCGCAGCTGGGCGAAAAGATGGCGAGAGGTGGATACAGATGACCAGGCAGGCGCAGCGAAGATTCGACGCCAGTCCCCTTGTTTGTGGCTTCGGTGGCTTTTCATTTGAGGACTAGACCGGCTCCGGGTTTGTCAGGATAAGCACCGCCAGTAAACGCTCTGCTTTAGCTAAGCTGATAAGTCAATATCATGTCACGACCTGCGCGGCACACAATGCGCGGAGACTGGCTGGAAGCGGAAGCGACGGCAGCAGTGGGCGAGCGCGACACACCACGCCGCCCTTTCCCTGGCATTATCCCGCGTCCGTGTCGGCCAGTGCCAGAGAGCGTGGGCGGCGGTTTGCGTCGCGCCGTCGAGCGCGCTGTTTACTGGGCGTGTTCAGCCAGCGGCGGCCGCAGCAGCCGCTCAGATCCGGGCCATCCATCGCTGCCGGCGCGACCTCTGCCAGCGTGTCGACAGCTCTGTCCCGGATCCGGGCACACGCTGCCGCCGGCCACCGCCGACCGCCGACGGGACCGACGGGACCGACACCGCCGGCCGGCCGCCCGGCCCCCGCGTCACGCCACGCGGCCGCCCGGCGCTCGCTCGGGCCGCAGTGCCGTCCCATTACCGTAACAGGTAGCGGCGGCAAACGACCAGCGGCCGGCCGGTCGGACGGACGTGACATTCTCTAATGTACCGGGCGCAGTGTGACGGCGCGGCGGTCCGCCGGGACCCGCAGACGCCGAGCGGTCCTACCGCTGCACCGTGCTGCAATGGTGGATACGGCGAGACGCGGCGCAGAGACGCAGACTGCGGTGAATATCACAGCCGAAGCGGCATGAGAGAATGAACAGACCAAACGAAGCAGGCGGCGCTGAATTACACGAGTACCGAGGTGAGCTGACCCACGTGAAACACGGGGAGGTCACGGGCAGCAGAGTGCCACCGGGTATCCCCCGCCAGCGCTCAGGGACCAGTCGGGCACGCACAGACGCGGCAGGTCCACATCAAACAAAGAGTTTCCAGAAGACATCACCCATTCTGCTCACGGCACGAGGTCATGAAGTTTGCATTGCCAGCATACGCAGGATGAGTTAGCAACTGTCCCAACCGGGCATGACCCGCTACGGTACTATGCGTCGACCAATCATGAGCCAGGAGGGAAGTGCTACCGTCCCTGGCAAAGTCAGTGTGACACCGGCACCGGCACTACGCAGACCCCGGAAGTCACTCTTCGAAGCCCCTGGGCGCAATATAGAGCTCCTAAACCACTTGGCCTTTTGACAGATGGATTAATAGTTGACCGCTGTTGGAATAGCACAGTGGCAGCTAACAGCATGTACTTCGTCCGCTCACTTATTGAAGTTTGCGAAGCGATTAGGAGCATGCAGCAAATTGTTATCCTACCTTAGGCGTGTTTGCCAAATGTCATGTTGACCTTTGCTCTAGCACGATAAGTCGCCAAACATTTCGAAAGCAGTGACACGTTCAACAGGTTGAAGCTCATTCCAGCACAACATATTTCATCAAATGGACTCACGAAAGCATCGGCGGAGCCCTATAAGTGTTATCGCATCGTGACAAAACACTGAAGGAAAATTACCATACTGTAAATCAGAATATAATTAACAAAAATCCCTTTCCTTAATTGTATCGTATTTATTGCCGAGAACCTTTGAATCCTGAATGCGCGAAATAGTACATAAGCGTCAATAAATACTTCAATAAAGCACGGTATTACACTAACAAATGCAAAAACGAGCATGTAACATGTTTTCCATCAGTTTGTATTCGGGTCTTTCGTGCCGTTTGGAGGGTGCGGGAGCGGGCCGCGACGGGCGGCAGTGGAACGGTTCTCTAACTGTCCTGGTAGGCTGGCCCGCCGCACACCGGAGCTCGCCGGAACAGTCTACCAGGCCAGGTGTTTCGCCTGCCGGCGCGGCAGTCTGCAGCACCCGGTGGGGACTCGGGAGAGCCGCCGCCGCGCCGTCCGGTCACATCTCACCAGCGAAAAGGTGCGACCAGCCACACCGTATCGGGCACTGCCGTTCGGCGTTCGACAAGATTGGCTGAAAATCAGATCACCGACAGCACCGCGATTCATTCGAAAAACCGATGAAACTGGGATATCGTGACCGATTTGTGTGTACCCCGAACGCCGTATTTCAACATCTCAATTTATTCTTGGGACGATAAATTTCCGGAAGCCGACTGCCGAGCCAAATTACATCAAACTGATCTCGTTTATTTTCTGAAATGGGCGCCGCCAACACCATGCATGCTGAAGGACATTATTTATGTGGTCTGAGGAAATTCTTAAAATTGACCGGTGGAATGATACCAGGACGGAAGCGACCATCTGAGCAGCGTTGCTATTTTTATATTCCCAAAGTTAGCCATCATGAATCATCTGTTGAACTTGAATCAACAGAACAAAAAGACGAAGCTGAAAAGAAGCCACTGCCCTCCTCATAAGGCAGAGTTCAGAAACTTTCCCGGGTGGGGAAAAAGAAATGCAACGGTAAACGAGCACCATTAGCGCACAGCATCTAATTTTCACAACAACGCTCCACGCTAATGCCGTTCTAGTGTCTCCAAATAACTCTGCATTGATCATGTAGTCTCTCTAAAACTTTGTACTAATGGTTTGACTCAAGTCAGCTCGGCACAGCGGCCAAGGCGCAACTAACTATAACAGAGTCGATTTATCTGTCGTGGTCGCTATTGCGCCAGCCGCCACGGCGCTGGAAAATACAGATATATTCGCGCTGCTGTCACCACTTCAACGGGTTGCAAGAAAAACAACTGAATTATCGTAAGCGCATTCGGAATTCGGCACTGGCCGACTAAAGCATGCAAATGAGCCATTGCATTGCAAGTGAAAACATCACCATATATTTCCATAGTCACCACGGGGCGCAGTGGATAGCCGCCGCGTCCCCTCTGCCCGGCGGCTGACCTGGCGGTGACCTCGACACTGACCTTGGCTGGTGCCGAGACGGACGCCCAGAGGCCGGAGCTGAGATCGGGCCGCGCCTCCCCTATCCGCCGCAGAATCGCCTCCGGGCTGTCACTCTCGCTGCTCGCGAACGGCGTCTTCCTGCGGGCGGAGAGGGGAGAGGAGCTGTCAGTGGCGACACCCACACGCGCCGCTCCGCCTTCCGGGGGCACTGGGGCCGGCAGAGGCAGACTGTCGGTGACAGCTCGCACACAGATCAGCTCGGACGGCTAAACGGTGGAAGGGAGAGGGAGAGAGAGAGAGAGAGAGAGAGAGAGAGAGAGAGAGAGAGAGAGAGAGAGAGAGAGAGAGAGAGAGAGAGAGAGAGAGAGAGAGAGAGAGAGAGAGCCTGTGACGTCCGTCCCACCCACGCACGGGAGGGGAGCGGCGGCGTGGGACCGTCCTCGTCAGCCCCAGCGCACAGCCGGACAGCAATTAGCAGACCGAGGTGGCGGTCCGACCAGCGGCGGCGGCGGCCGGCGCTCGGCAGTCATCTGAGGACGCAATTACGGCCATCGCAGAGGAGCGGCTCCAATCAGAGTCTGTCCGCGAACCGGCCGCTAAGCACCTCATCAGCAACGGACACAGACACAGAGGGAGGCGCCGCGGCCGCCGCCGAACCAAAAGCCACTCCCAGCTGAACGCACTGTCACAGGGCGGTCCCTAAGTCAGCGGCGTGCTCTGTAAACCACCGCCTGGGTGGTGTCTACAGTTGGCAGTCCCGCCGACAGAAATCGGTCACGGCGCAAAAGTGTCTCGCTGTCACACATTTCTCGGTGTGTCGGTGGCGGCCGCGGTCCGACAGCCGTCTCCTGGGACGGGCCGCGCCCGATATAGCCGTCGAGCCGACCCCACACAGACCGATAAGCCACCCGAGGAGCACCATTCGGCCGCCCTGGCCGCCAACTTTACCGCCCGGCCCCGGCCGCCGATCGGACGGCGACATTGTGACAACGGGCGTCCACAGTCCGCCGTGCCAGCCGTGCTGACGGCCTTTGGGACAGCAAATCGCTGTAACAAGTAGTTGTTTGGATATACAAGAAAATCACCTTGAGTTCTGATTTTGCATGCCTCAGTTTACATGCCTCAGTCAAAGTAATGAGGAAGACATCACTAATCAAGTAACCTGCATAACAAGTGTGTCACGATTCACTGAGCGCATTTCATCATATGACTTTTGGTGACCCGGCCTTGACCTCCGTAAACCGACAGTTATGAACCGCGAGCTGTCATGGCGTGCACTGTGCAGCCCACCCACCCGTGCACACATACCTGACCAATAGCCGCCAGTAGCGGCGTTCCGACAACGGTGCATTTTTCAACGTCAGTGCTGAAAGCGGCCGCCTCATATCGGGCAATATCAGCCATTGTCGTTTGAGTGGATTACATCAAATGAGCATTTATCATCGTTTCCGGTCGCCGCGGTCTGGCTGTGACGGTGGCAGTCGTGCTGACGGCAGACGGGGGCGGCGCGACTCGGTCGGGCATAGCTCGGCCGGACGGCGCGATTCGGTCGGGAGGGACGGCCCGGTCTGGTGTGGTGGGCAGACCTCGGCAGTGATTTGCGAGGCTAGCCGACCACGCCGATGGCATGTGAAGGACGCCGATCGTTCCGATCACGGCTTGCGATGCACAGAAAACTCATCAGTGCCAGATCTTGTCATGCCTCACTGTCGAGTGGATAGGCCTTAGCAGCACTGACTGAAGTTCGAGCACCATCAAATGTCAGCAAATGTATAATATAGTTACTTCGATTGGAAGTACCTTATTTACATGCTTTGCGTCTTCATATTTTGAGACATTGATCCATGGACTAATTATTTGACGCGACGCCGGGTGAATAACATTATAATAAACCAATAATGAATAAGATGCCTTTTGGAGCCACAAAACGTGCCAAACGGTGACACAAGGGCGTCTTACTGGTCGACCGTTTTGTAGTCGGTTCGCTGGTCTAACGGTGGTCTGTTAGACCGGCAGACCTCATTAGTGGTCTGTTCTACCCCACCTGCACTGGTCTGTTGGACCGGGGTGCTGACCAGGAGTGGTCCGTCGGACCAGGAGGCCTCACTGGCTGTCCCATCTGCACAGGCCAGTCGGACGGCCAGTGCCGCCGCGGACCAGGAGGCCTCACTGGCTGTCCCATCTGCACAGGCCAGTCGGCCGGCCAGTGCCGCCGCGGACCAGGAGGACTCACTGGCAGTCCCATCTGCACAGGCCAGTCGGACGGCCAGTGCCGCCGCCGCCCAGAAACAAACGTAATTGAATTTCTGAGAAGGCGGCAACTGCGGACTGGCGTGCAATCTCCCCGGTGCGCCGGCGACACGGCACCGGCCAGGGACGACACATTCAACATCGTTAGAGCCGTGGCCCGGCGCGAGTGGACCGGCCGGCAGCTGGGACTGGACCATGTCCGGACGGCCAGCACGTGGCACTGGTGGTCGGAACAAACAGCACAGAGACTCTCCAAAGGCGACAGACAAATAGGTAAATGTGTCTCCATCCGCAGCAAACAATAACGTAAAATACCTCAAACAAATAAGTCGCGGTAGCAAAGGGCATCCATGGCAAAAAAACGAGAGAGCAAGCACTGTGGAGAGTGCTGTGCTGGACTGGCGCCTCTGATGAATATTCTCACCACAGTTAGTGATGTCAAGCGATGCCTATGTGCGCCTTTGATCATTGATGAATATTCTCACCACAGTTAGTGATTTCAAGCGATGCCTAGTTGTGTTCCAATTCAATGGAGCACACTCATCAAGTTGGTGTGAAAACACCAGCTCAAAATTAACAAAATTCGCGCACGCCTGAAGCATACGGCGAAATTGTGGGCTCCGCACCACGGTCTGCTAAGCACGTCTGTCTGCACCCGGGTTTAACAGGCACATGGATGGGGTATATTATATAACGCGAGTGACTGGGGAGGGGGGGGGGGGGGGGGTCGAGAGGAGAGCCTGCACAAAGATAGTATCGCTGTTGCCACTCCAAAATAACAGAGTCATTATAATCTGTCTCGAATACCGGCAAGGACCCATTCTTCATCAAGTGACGGCAATCTCAATTCAGAGAAAATATCTTCCATTGAACATACCCAGAAATCATATGGTCAAACAAAACCATTCCCAATACACAGAAATCTCACCGATAACAAATGAGTTGACCCTATCACTGAATTAAATTAATTTCACGAGCCGCGTCTTTCGGGAATCCAATTCCAGTTGAAGCTGAGACCGTGCCACCGGCGCCACTAAGCGACCCATCTCACACGACGACCGGTCGCTGTTGTTGACCAATGGAGGAGTATGACCGGCACCGCTCTGGTAGATGAGGCCCGGCTGGATCCGCACCGTTCAGACGGGTCGGCGGGGACAGCGGCGGTTAGTGACAGGGTATGACGGGCGGGGACGGAGAGGAGAGGGGGGGGGGGGATCACAGGACAGTCCAGCAGGTGCAGTGGTCAGACAGCGGTATGGATGGAATGAGACGGACAGGTATTGGAAGGCAGATAAGGTACTCTTCAAAATAATGATTTCTTTTGCCATGGTTGTAAATGAAATCGAGCATTTTCAGGTAGAGCTGCAAACTCTCGCATAAAGAGTCACTGAGATGCACGCTGATCAGCCGATGACCAATCAAGGCTGAACCGTCTCCGACTGCGATAGATAGCAGGTGATATCGGAGCGCTCATTAACGCTCTGCATAGCTACTTGACATAACGGAGAAAAGGCCTGTGAGAGAACAAGCAGAACCACCATTCGTGCGGGAGAGTGCGAGGTTGCGCGAAATGCGACAACACATATTCGACAGGACGGCGCGGGTTACAGTTAGCAGCCAGTTGCCATCGGTCCGTCCCAGGCCAGTCGTGTTTGGACCCTTCAGATATCGACGCGACCATCGCGCGGCCGCCAGTCACCTATATTTAACCGGCTCACTGATGGCCGGCGCCGCTGGGGAGGCACCGAGCCGCCCCGACCCGGCCGGCCCGACACCGCCGGCACACCAACAGGCCGTGTGACGATGGAAATCGAACGTCGGGACGTGTCAGATGGGTGTGACAGCGTCCAGACGGCCGCACTGCCGACCGCCGGCCGGCCGGGGAGGGTACTGTGGGCGCAGCGGCGTCACCACTCGCGCCGCCAGCCGGCAACTCTCCCAGCATCGCCGCCGGCCCGCGGGACCGATCGAGATGGATATGATCAATAAGGGGTGAACTATCTCCCGATGGGTCCCGTCCGTCATGAGCCACAATAGCTGACAAATACTGGGTCGGGCGCGGCTGACGGGCGGCGCGGGCGTCCGACAGATCTCCGACTAATGGACCCGGTGGGAGGGCGAGGCCAATCAGTGCCGTGGGACGGGAGAAGCCTCCCTCAGCGGGAGCGATCACACCTGACACGTGGCCCGCCAGGGAGGAGCGCAGGAAATCCCTGTCAGGGCGCAGCGTCCCGTCCGGCTCCCGGTGGAAATAAGACCCGCCCGCGCCGGACAGGCAGGTGACAGTGCCGGGTGATAGTGCCGGGCGACGGCGGGGCGCACTTGGGGACTGACTCGGGACGGCAACACCACCAGTGGACAATCTGGCGTGCTCTCAGACAAGATGGAGATCTCCGATAAAAAAAAAAAAACGGACAAAATAAAGACAGATGCACTTCAGTATCCAAGGTGTCGAATAATAATAAAAAATAAAGGAAAATAAGTTCAAGAACAGACACTTTTTATGAATTAAGTCCAAATCTTTTGAATGGATGGATTCACAAGGTTAGAGCCCCGCAGCCCCCGCTGTTGTGTTGGCCCTGCCCTCCACCCTCCGATCGCACAATTCCTGTCTATGGCAGAATTGAGTCCGAAGTTGAACCTACGCAAACATTATCAGCTAGCTACGGCCTGCCACCAACCACAGCCGTACCCACAGGCTCAAAAATATCGTGCGCCTGTCGCGCCTCGAACCCCGGATTGTTGCGACGGGATGCGTGCTCTCACCATGCAGAGTCCAACGCTCTACCGACTGAGCTCCGGAACCGACTGAGCGATGGACACTCTCACCTAAAATAGCACCTACGGGCAACAGTAACTATGAGCCAAATGGCATTTATCACCAATGCATCGCCCTGTGGGACGGTAATGCATCAGCAGTACCACCCATTTAAAAGTCACTTGATCGGTTTGTGGAAAGCACTCCCGAGCGCTATATAAAGGCCTAACGAATGTAAATAAGTTCAGCTCTAGTTGCAACAGGTCGTATGCCACCCGCTTTAAGATGCATGACACTCGACCCGGAGAGTAGGCAAGTGGATTTTGAAGGCGTAGGCGACAACACCGAATACATAGAGGCAGCTGACCGGGAGAGGGTTTCCATGTTCGGCATCTGAAGCGGGCCGGTCGGCCTGAGAGCGTTCCCTGGTGACGGCACCCCCGCCGGCCGTGTGGCGGGTGGCAATGTCGCGGCCGTCAGTCGCGAGCCGCCCGCCGGAGCGTTCACAACAGACCTTCCAGCTGACCGTCCCCGCGCCGCGACGCTCGGCCACCTCCCACGCGGGGATTAATAACACCAGATAGCCCTCTCTCACAGCCCCCGAAGACTGCTGCCGAAATTACGGCAGTCGTTTCACGTCAATCGAGAATCGGCGACGGAAAGAGGCCGTCCCACGCGCCGAGCCGACTGAAGCACCAGCGACAAAGCCGCTTCAGCCGAGCACTGCCAGAGCGGCAAACAAAGCGGCCCATTTAACTCGATCAGCCGCGGCCGCCATGTCACATTAGACGTCACATTAACCTCAATAAGCGCGGCCCGCGTTCATGGATCCTCCCCAGACCATCACGCAGCTCAGATAAGCAGAGAGCGTCTGTGATAAGGAAAACCTGCGCCCACGCCCGCGGGCTGACCTCCCCTCTCCTCCCTAGCCGTCCCCGAGAGACGGGGGACACCACCGCCACTCACCCGGACAGCATGGTGTAGAGGATGACTCCCAGCGCCCAGACGTCGCACGAGGCGTCGTAGCCCTGTCGCTTCAGCACCTCGGGGGCCACAAACGAGGCCGTGTAGCAGGGTGTCATCAGCAGCCCGTTGGCCGTCCGCAGCTGCTTGGAGAAGCCGAAGTCGACGATACGCAGTGTCTCCGGCTTACAGCTCTGGCTGGCGTACAGTAGGTTGGACGGCTTGAGGTCTCTGTGTACCACCTGTGGGAGGGAGGGAGGGAGGCCGGTGTTCGGTGACTGGACGCAGGAATACATGCACACCCTGCCGGGAACCCACCCTTGCCGGGATGGAGTGTCTGTCTTCTTTCTGTCTGTCTGCCCTCTATCCATCCATCCACCCATCCAACTGTTTATTGGTAATACAAATTAAACGCATAATATATAGTAAAATAAGAGGAGGCACAAAAGCCAAAGGGCTTAAGTCTCGGTGCCAACTCTCGTGATGCAGTGCACCGGAAATATGTAGGTATAATACTAGCGCAGACACACATACATGCATACTTACATACATACACATACGTACATACATAACATAACATAACATAACATGTATTCCATGTAACAGCAGGCCACTTGGGCCTAACGAGGTTACAGGTAGATGAACAAACACTGTATGTAAAACACAGTACAATTACACCATTTCATCGAACACTAGCCCACGCTGTTTATGATACAAGTCTAACTCATTTTTAAAATTACTTAAGGAGGAACTATTGATAACTCTAGGAGGTAAACCGTTCCAAGCTTCTATGACCCTACTGGTAAAAAAGGACTGTCTTAACCTGGTTCTGGAAAATTTCTTTACTAGTTTGCACCCATTTCCTCTCGTGGAATTTGTATTGAGTGTAAACATCTTCCCAAAATCTAACTTATCAATCCCTTTGTATATTTTAAACAGTTCAATCAAATCCCCTCTTATCCTGCGGTAATGAAGTGAAAACATATTTAACGAAGCCAGGCGTTCTCTGTAGCTCATTTCACCCAGCCCACGAACCATCTTTGTTGCCCTCCTCTGCACACGCTCCAAAAGTTTTATATCCTTTTTTAGAGACGAGTGGCATGCTTGTGCACAGTATTCAAGATGAGGCCGAACTAATGAACAATAGAGTCTTTTCATTACTTCTTTACTTACATACACATACATACATATATACGTACACGCCTGAACACATTCATCATCTCTCATACTTCGAACATACGCTCAGTCAGAAGCTCGCCCGACCGCCGCCCCGTCGCCGGCCACCGCCCGCAGCCACCGCCCCCGCACGCCCCGCCAGGAGGCCGCGCCCGGCCAGGTCCCTGGATGAAGTTAGAAAGCGCATGAGAATCTGTGAGTATCTTGTATAAATTTTTGGAAGTGGCGTGCCACCGCCCGACCGCCGACACCGTCGAGGCCTGAGCCGTGCAGGAGGATTTCCAGTTGGATGGTTTTAGGTTGAAGTGTAAAGTTGGATTGTAGGCTTCGGGATATATTTTGGTTCATTTCGTCTCTTTGTCGTGTGTACAATGGGCATGAGAGGATAAAGTGTGCTGTGCTTTCTTGAGGGAAACCGCACAGACAAGCTGGAGAGTCAGTTTTCTGAATTTTGTATAAATGAGAATTTAACTGTGTCATGTTAGTCCTTAGTCTGGTGTGAAGAATGTTTAGATTTTTGCTACCGTGTGAATAATGTGTGTACCGTGTGGGTGGTTTGGATGCCGAATAATGTTTTTTGATCCACTTGTTGAAGTCTGAGAGGGGCAATTGCTTTGTGGTCTCTGGCAGTGTATTCCATTGTTTTCCTGTGAGAGTAAAGAAGGAGCGTTGATGTGTTGTTGTCCGGGTTTGAGCTAAAGTGTGGTGTCTAGCGTTTCGAAGTGTCATGTTTATTGTTTATGTCATGTTGTCGTGTACGTGGGATGATAGTTGAGATATAATTTGGAATATTGTGGTTATCAGGTCTACTTAATTTGTGATAGAGTGTCAATCGATGTGTTTGTCTTCTGGTTGTCAATTTGTCCCATCCTAGTTCGGTGCGTAGTTTGTCAGATGGTGTTCTAAACAGGGTCCCAGTCGTCAGTCTCGCTATTCTGTTTTGTAACGTCTCCAGTCTAGAAATGTCTCTTAAAGTGATATGTCCGTCGTACACAGTGTCACAATAGTCAAAAAGAGGTAAAATGTACGTTTTGTAAATTTGTTCTAGGATATGTCGAGGAAGATATTTTGCAATTGAATATAATGGGCTGGTATTTTTGTTTATTTTGCTTATAATTTCGTTTACATGTTCGTGGAATCGGAGATCGTGAGAAAACGTCAGTCCAAGGTGTTTATGAGTCTCATCTTTCGGTATAGGAGTGTCAGCAAAGTGAAGTGTCGGCTGTCGGTGTGACTTTTTAAGTGAGAATGTTTGTTGACTAGTTTTTGCTGAATTGAATGAAATGGCCCAGTCTTGTCCGTATTTGTAAATTTCGTCTAAGTCTCTTTGTAAGGTCGTTTGGGTGTTTTGTAGTGTGTCTGGTGAGTGGGAGGCATATAAAGAGGTGTCGTCTGCGAATAATAAAATTTCGTTGTATGTGCGTTTTGATAGATCGTTTAGATGTATTAGTGCTAGAAGAGGTCCAAGTACCGATCCCTGGGGGCATCCTGCGTTATCACACAAGACAGACAGAGACAGACAGATAGCGACAGATAGAGACAGACAGACAGATAGAGACAGACAGACAGACAGAACAGAGACAGACTGACCGACCGACCGACAGATACAGACAGACATCTCACCGGCCCACACAGCCACAGGGCGGCCCACTGGTCGTGTATAATGCATGCGGGCACTTTCGTTGCGTCACAATTACGTGATATCATTTTAGCTAAAAGCCTTTTCGAAGATAACCTGTGCCGCCCACCAGCATTTATGGGCATTAAAGTTTAACCGATGGAAGGTTCCATTGTGGAACTTCACTTGGAACTAGCTCACATCATGTGACTGACGTGAAGGAAATCTGTGACGTGTGGTGATAGTGTGGCAGTCATTGTGGTAGATTGACATTGTGATTTAAGAAGAGTGTGGTTGACCGTGAGGCAGACATTGACAGCAAGGTGTCCAGAGATGATGATGGTATGATGAATGATGACGATGACGATAGTGATTCGGTTTTAGGGGTACCCCACCCCCAACGGCGTTGATCCTCTGCACCCAGGTATTCCCTGGCCTCTGCCGGCTGCTGTCGCCATCCGCCCCCACTCACCCCACTCTTGTGCAGGTACTGGACTGTGGAGGCCACCACGTGGAACACAGCGGCCGCCTCGCGCTCCGACAGGTACCGCTGGCGCAGCAGCTTGTCGAGCAGCTCGCCGCCGCGCAGCAGCTCCGTCACCAGGTACACGCTGCGGTCGTCCTCGTACACCTACAGGGCAGATCGGAGAGGCGTCGCTGTCAGCACACGGACAGTGGACTGGTACAGCCCCAGTACTCGCCTACATGACAAACAATGACTCAGCCGCATATACCCGCAGCAAGAGCCACGATGTCACGTCACAAGTTTCTTACCCCGAGTGCAGACATGTGCCGAATACAAAGGTCCTCACGAGCCCGTCATCCGAAACGATGGCTGATTACACGAAGATGAAGAGTAAACAAATATCACAGCTCAACAAACCGAACAACCTGGTTATATTTTGGCATCAATAATTCTGAGCTCGAAGGCAGTAAAATGACTTACAGAGGGAAGGAGGTAACATTTATTACTGTTGAAGGATTACACGAGTTATAAGAGCCATATTAACCCGCGCCCTGCTGGGGGGGTGTTTGAACACCCCCCCTTGTGGTTTTTCGCGAATATCTCAAAAACGGCGGCGCGGAGCGCCGCCGTTTTTGGTACACCTTATCATACATCAATTCTACACATGTTGTGAAAATTTCAGACCAAGGTCATTCAAGGTCAGGTCACCAGGTCACTTGAAGTGACCTCACCTCATAAAAAGTTTCAATGTCTGTCATAGCTACACCGAGTGACCGATCGCTTTGAAACTTTCAGCGATTGCTAAGAGCAATAGTATGTACAAAATGTATATCTCAGAATTTTGATGACCTAAGGTCAGGTCAATTTTGCGACCTCCCCATTATAAGTCAATGGGAGAAAATTGAAATGCGCCTCTTTTGGACGAAAGACATTATAAACACTCCCAAACACCGAATTACAAGTGGTTTAGACACACTGAACATGAAAATGGTGTCCGTGACCCTTGCTTATGCCCTGAGGTCATCTTAGGTCACGAATGATATCTAACAGTTTTTCGCGAATAACTTTTGATAGAGGCGTGCTAGAGCGATGAAAACGCCTTAGATGTGTTCAGCTCGACGATACGGATCGACTGATATGCAACATGACCCTTTCCGGTCAGGTCATGACCTTGACCTGAGGTCAAATTTTCAAGTTGACCTTTCAAGGTCAAGTTATAGTTCATTCGATGCGTCTTGACGAGAGGAACACGATGCCGGTAAAAGTAAGCTCGTACAAGGCTTGGGTCAAAAGTTATTGCAGAAAAACTGTTTCCGAAAAAATCGGCTATTTTTGCAGTTTTTGCCCCCTGCAGGCAAAACCGTTGACGTTAGGTCAAATCTGAGAGAATTACTCAGAAAGGGCGTTAATAGGGCTATCGAATGCGCTTTTCCGCGGCGCTGTAGCTCTATTGGTTCCCGAGTTATGCGTTGGCTTCTTGGAAATTTTCGACATTCGACCTGGAAATCGGCGAAATTTTGCCTTCAATTACCTCTGGTGACCTGACCTTTGACCTGACCAAAAAATTGACCGAAGTGATTTCGTCATTATTTTTGACGCTCTTTCGAACGCCGCCTTCCGCGTATCGCTACGTGGCCCAGGAGCCGAGTTACAAGGGGGGGGGTGTTCAAACACCCCCCCCCCCCCCAGCAGGGCGTGGAAATCCAGGACCCCCAGCCGGGCGCGGGTTAAGAGCCATGACTTCGCATAGCGACGGAATCTTTGTCTCCATCTGTTCATGCGAACAGATGAAGACCAGGCCAGTCACTGCTCCTATCCATGTTTCAGAACAGTTGCTACGGTCGCCCTTCACAAGCTCCAATGCTCAGAAAAGGAGAAAAGAACCATCCAGCCCGTTGCCACCTTCGCTTGGAGCAGAACACAGAATACAAAAGCGAATGGGCAATTGATCAACAGCACAGCTTATTGAGTGCACGAGTGATGCGTCTGACAATTCATCAGCGCTGTGCTCCTTTGAGCCCGCTCCGCTCGTAGCTCAATAGAGGTGTGTGAGATGTATGAGCAGAGCGTCTGAGAGAACGCTACCGCTTCTCGCTACCGCTACCGCTTGAGAGGCGGTGCCTTCAGACGCAGTGCCAATTACCGCCAAATGCGGCGACCAAGCGACGTCCGAGAGTTAACCCTCGCCCTGGCAGGGCCTTTTTCATAACACGGCCTGGCAGGGGGGGGGGGGGGGTCGATGCGACCCCCCCTGTTGGCGCCGTTGTCGCCTGGCGATGCTAACTTTTAGTTGTCCGGGCGATTGACAGATGGCGGTGTGGTTTTCGGTTGCCCATTTGTTATCGATTTATTGATATGTTTGCTTTTTGGTTTGGTGCCTTGTTTCTTTTGGTTTATTTTAGGTATCGGTTTGTAATTTAGTTTTGTATTGTGATCCGCGGTCATAAGTTATTTGGATTTTGTTCGATTTACTGACCGTGACCTCTACGGTCACGTGACCCGGCGCCGGCTGACCTGCCACGTCACCCTTCTGGGTCAGCGGAGGGGCGGCCGGCGAGGCAGCGCCCATTCTTGGTTGGCCTGTCGCGGCGGCGTTAGCGTGCCGCGCATCGGTTTGGTTTGGTCGTGTTTGGCTTGGTTCGGCCGTTCGACGTTTGGAGTGCACAAGGGCGCACCGTGTAGGTGAGTGAGCGATTTTGGCCTCGGAAATTAGTTCATGTTGGTGAGATTGTTTGCCGATTTTGTTTTCTTTGCTTAGTTGTGTCTGCGTATTCGTTCGGTTGGTGTTCATTTGGTCATATGTTAAGTTTTGTTTGTTTCGATTCCAGAAACCGCTACGCTTTGTTCCGTTCTGCTGCGCTACGAGCAATATATGGTCAGCACAGGCGGAGCTAGCGCGTTTTACTACCGGTCGGCGCGAGATCCGGGGCACTGAGGTCGTCGGCGGCTACAGTTTCTACACGCGCCAGTTTCTGCGCGAGCCATCTCAATCTGCGCTCGCTGGCTGGTCTTCGGCTGCTCGGCGCCAGCTTCTGCGCGCGCTGGATCTTCGGGAGCGCGCAGTTTCTGCGCGCCGGCTGGATCTTCGGACGCGCGCAGTTTCTGCGCGCGCTGGCTGCGCTATCGGCGCTGTCCTACGGACGCGCGCAGCTTCTACCAGTTTCTACGGTCTGCAGTGGCTACTGTGTTTCGGCCTGCAGCCGAGCTCGACACGTGCCGACTGCCGGGCCTCTGCGCGTGTTTCAACGTGCTGAGTTTCTGCGTGAGCTAACGTGCGCAGAGTCGGTAAGTGATCTGGGTCTGGTTTGGTATGACCGTGGGTTTGGTTTGGTTTGACTCACCTCTGTGAGTTTTGGACCTGTGAGTACCTACTGCTCGCGGGTAGTTTGGCCTTGAACCGGGGGCAGTTTGGCCTTGAACTTTGGACTTGGACTCGCGCCAATTCGCTCCCTCGGTTGGCTGTGTGCCAGGATTGGACTCAGTCTGGTTCAGTGGTATCAGTGAACTTTGGCTCAAGTAAGGACTTTGAGTGCTCTTCAGGGGAACATCAGTGGGGCTGTTGGGGTTAGCTTTAAGGTGTTACTGTGTCACGCATTTGTGTGTTTAGTGTGTGTTGTTGTTGTTGGTCTGTGTGATGCATTATTAGGGTAAGGTAGCTAAATGGCATCAAGGGAGGAGCTCTCCAAGCTCAAGTCCTCAGAGTTAGTGGAGGAGCTCAGCTCTAGGGGGCTTTCGACTTTGGGTAAAAAGGCGGAGCTTGTTGATAGGCTGTGGAATGTTGTCAAGCCTGTTGATGATGAGCATGATAGTGTAGACAGGGACATGTCTCAGCTAAAGGGAGATGTAAATCAGGAACAGGTCAGGATGGCAGCAGGTCAGTTGGATAGCAATACTTTGTCTCAAAATCTGTCAGGTTCTGGCTCGGAAGCGTCTCAGTTGCTCATTGCAAAGTTGAGGAATTTGAAAGAGATGGAACAGCTTGAGGAACAGGAACTTAGGATTAAGATGAGACGTCAGCAGCTAGATATAGAGTTAAAGCTGGCTGAGTTGCCTAGTGGAGAGGTAAGTGAGGAAGTGATTGACTCATTGAGGATCCAGACAGACAACCAGGTGAGATCTCCCCGTTCTGATGAGACATCCGTGCTGAACTCACAGATGCAGAGGATGTTGTTGCCACCTACTGAGATTGAGAAATTTGATGGTAATGTCATGAAGTACAAACTGTTCATCAGGTCATTTGAGGCTAGAATTGTGTCACGCACGACTGACAATGACGAGCTCTTGCATTACCTTGAGCAGCTGACTGTGGGAAAACCGAGACAGATTGTTAGGAGCTGTATGTATCTGAGTGAGGGTGGTTATGCAGAGGCCCGAAAGCTGCTAGATCAGAGGTACGGCAGCTCACACAGGGTGGTCGATGCATACGTGCAAAGACTGAACGACTGGGGCAGGATCCCTCCAGGTGACGTAGAGGAGTTAGATAGGTTGACCCTGTACCTGACTGAAATCAAACACGCAATGACTGACTTGGACGTTGCAGGTGAGCTCGAACACCCGAGAACCTTGAGAGAGGTGGTTGACAAACTGCCTGGCTACTTGAAGGATATGTGGATGAGGTTAAGTGATGATATCATGGAAGGTGAAGGGAGGATGGTTAGGTTCAGGGACTTGGTTGATTTTTTGGCCAAGGAAGTGCGTGTTAAGAGAAACCCAGTTTTTGGTAGGTCCTCGGAGAGCAAACATGCTGCACAGAGGTCACAGCCACAGGTCTCTGGTCGCATGCAGGCGCAGTGCAGTGCGACTGCAGTAAGCTCAGGATCAGGTGAGAACAGATGCAGGTTCTGTCGAGGTAATCACTTCCTTGATGATTGTCAGGAGCTGAAATGGAGACCAATGGATGAGAGGAAGCAGTTCATTCAGACTCAGAGGTTGTGTTTTGGTTGCTTGCATGAAGGTCACACTGCCAGGTTCTGCAGGAAGCGTAGGAAGTGCAGCATCTGTGGTGGTCTGCACGCTACTCTCCTCCACAGGCAGGGTGAGCAGCCACCCAAGTCTGAGCAGGTGAGACCCAGTGCTGCTCCCAGCAGCTCGGTTCAGGTTAGCAGTGGTGGAGTCACTGCTGACTCTGGTCAGAGAACAGGTACTCTGATGCCTGTGGTTCCAGTGAGAGTTGTGTCACCCTCAGGGAAGACAGTGGAAACTCTTGCCTTTTGTGATAGTGGCAGCTCTGGAACTTTCATGAGTAAGAGTCTGGCTGATCAGCTTGGGATGTGCTCAAAGTCCACTACCATTTCTGTTGACACTGTGTGTGGATCTGGGAGTGAGATTTCCACATCTGTGATGGAGGATGTGAAAGTTGGTCCCCTGAAGGGTGAAGGTCTGTTCTCGCTCCCTCCAGTGTTCACTCTTGACCGCATTCCTGTGTCCACTGAGGATGTGTGTGACAGAGTTGAGTTGAGTGCTTGGCCACACCTGTGTGGTGTGGAGCTGCCGGAGACTGATGTTGATCTGCGTGAGGTGGATCTACTGATTGGTGCAAACTGTCCACAGCTGTTGGTGCCGGATGAGGTGAGGAAGCCTGAGGGCGATGGGCCGTGCGCTCTGCGCACCCGCCTCGGGTGGTACGTGATTGGACCCTCCCATCGGTCGGCTCGTGATCCTGTGGGTCAGCACTCTGTGAACCGGATCGGCGTTTCGCGTTCCGACATTCCTGGTAAGGTCTCTGAGGCTGATCTGTTCGTTCAGCTGTACGATCAGGATTTCAAGGACGCAGCTGATGAGACTGAGAGTTTGTCCGTGGAGGACAAGGAGTGGGTGAGCATGGTCAAATCTAAGCTGAGGAAGGATGAGATGGGCCATTTTGAGATAGGTCTCCCACTCCGTGATGTCAGTGACTTGCCGGATAGCTACTTCACAGCTAAAAGGCGCTTGGAGCCTCTCAGGCGACGCTTGTCTGGCAACCCCGATCTTCGTGATGAGTATGTTTCTGTTGTTCAGCGACTGTTTGATGAGGGCTACGCTGAGGTGGTCCCCGATGCTGAGGTTGAGACTGGGGAAAGGGTTTGGTATTTGCCGCACCACGGTGTTAGGCATCCAGAGAAGAAGAAACTAAGGGTGGTTTTTGATTGTTCTGCAAAAACTGACGGCCTGTGTCTGAACGATCTGCTGATCAAGGGACCCAACCTCACCAACTCACTTGTTGGGGTGCTGCTTCGATTCCGCCTGAATCCTGTGGCGTTCACGTGTGACGTGGAGTCGATGTTTCACAGGGTTCGACTGCCTGCTGCTGATGCGAACATGATGCGTTTCCTGTGGTTCAGGAACGGCGATGTCGGCGGTGACGTGGTGATCTGCCGCATGAAATCGCACATCTTCGGCGCGGTGTCTTCTCCCAGCGTCGCAGGGTTTGCACTGAGGCAGTGCGCTGAAGAAGGTAAGGCCGAGCATCCAGAGGCTGCTAGGATTGTTGATCAGAGTGTCTATGTAGACGATGCACTGGTATCGGCTTCATCAGTGGATGAGGCTGTTCGTTTGGCCAGCGATTTGAGACAGTTATGTCAGTCAGGCGCATTTAACATGCGCAAGTTCACGAGTAACAGCACAGAGTTCCTTCGGAGCATTCCGCGTGAGGACAGGGGCAACAACGCGAAGGATCTTGACCTCCAAGTAGAGTCGTTGACGCCAGAGCGTGCTCTAGGCATGCTGAGGTCGGTTGAGGATGACACGTTCCGGTTCCGCTTCGTTGACAGGCGCAGACCAGTGACGAGACGAGGCATCTTGTCCACAGTGAGTGCTTGTTCGACTCGCTGGGCATCGTCTCGCCAGTCACCTTGCACGGCAAGGTCTCTGTCTAGAAGCTGTGCCTGATGTCCTGTGGCAGGGACGACGCCATTCCGGCGCCATTCCGGGTTTGGTGAGCTCTGTTCGGATTTTGGTGAGCTCTACTCTGGGTTTTGGTGAGCTCGGCTGTTGGTTTGGTGAGCTCTACTCAGGGACTTGGTGAGCTCTGCTCAGGGTTTTGGTTTGGTGAGCTCTGCTCAGGGATTTGGTGAGCTCTGTTTTGGTTTGGTGAGCTCGACTTGGAGACTTGGTGAGCTAGGCTCTGGGGTGAAGGCATACCAGGTAGGTTTGCTGACGAGCAGTTCTCCACCCAGCAGTGGAGAAGGGTCCAGTACCTCGCTGACCAGTTTGGCTCAGATGGAGGCGCGAGTACTTGCCGACCTTACAGCGGCGCCAGAGGTGGGTATCTAAGTCTAGGAACGTAGGGCAAGGAGACGTCGTGTTACTGATAGATGAGGATGTGCCGAGAGGTCATTGGCGCATGGGCAAGGTGACGCAGACGTTTCCGAGCAAGGACGGTTTGGTGAGAAAGGTGTCCCTGAGAACTGGTGGCACGGTTTTGACGCGGCCGGTGCATAAGCTGATCGTCCTGCTGCCGACTGCTGACCGGAGCCTGAGCTAGATTGCGATCGTCTGGAGCCGACTGCGGCTCAGACCTGAGTTACCGAGTGTTGTCGCGGCGCGGTGATAGTTAAGTGTTTTATTCGGTGTTTAGTGTTAAGTGTTAAGTGATGAGTGTTAGGTGTCCTCAATCCTGTCGGTTGAGCGGGGGCAGTGTTGGCGCCGTTGTCGCCTGGCGATGCTAACTTTTAGTTGTCCGGGCGATTGACAGATGGCGGTGTGGTTTTCGGTTGCCCATTTGTTATCGATTTATTGATATGTTTGCTTTTTGGTTTGGTGCCTTGTTTCTTTTGGTTTATTTTAGGTATCGGTTTGTAATTTAGTTTTGTATTGTGATCCGCGGTCATAAGTTATTTGGATTTTGTTCGATTTACTGACCGTGACCTCTACGGTCACGTGACCCGGCGCCGGCTGACCTGCCACGTCACCCTTCTGGGTCAGCGGAGGGGCGGCCGGCGAGGCAGCGCCCATTCTTGGTTGGCCTGTCGCGGCGGCGTTAGCGTGCCGCGCATCGGTTTGGTTTGGTCGTGTTTGGCTTGGTTCGGCCGTTCGACGTTTGGAGTGCACAAGGGCGCACCGTGTAGGTGAGTGAGCGATTTTGGCCTCGGAAATTAGTTCATGTTGGTGAGATTGTTTGCCGATTTTGTTTTCTTTGCTTAGTTGTGTCTGCGTATTCGTTCGGTTGGTGTTCATTTGGTCATATGTTAAGTTTTGTTTGTTTCGATTCCAGAAACCGCTACGCTTTGTTCCGTTCTGCTGCGCTACGAGCAATATATGGTCAGCACAGGCGGAGCTAGCGCGTTTTACTACCGGTCGGCGCGAGATCCGGGGCACTGAGGTCGTCGGCGGCTACACCCCCCCCTCGCGATTGGCTCCTATGGCACCTAGAAACACCAAATTTGGTAGGTAGGTGGGCCCCATGGAGTTCTCGCCCCTGTGCAAATTTGGTTGTTCTAGGTCAATATTTAGGGGGGTTTTGGGGGGTATAAATGTAAAAATTTCGCTAAAAACAGGTCAGAAGTTTTTCGCTTATAACTTTTGATCTAATTAAGATAGAGCAAAAAGAAAAGCACCAGTGAACTCAGCACGTCAAGGCGCGTCGAATGATATACTTTTTAGCTTGCTTAAGTGTACTTAAAGTTTTTCTTAATTTTTAAGTAAACTTTAATTAACTAATTGAGTTCAAATTAACCAAATTGCATCATATCGCATATCATTCGATTCGGCTGATCACCAGGAACACAATGACACCATTTTTTAAGCTCTAGCGTCATTATGTGCCAAGTTATTGGAAAATATGTGATTTGACCTCAGATGACCTCATTTGACCTGACCCATAGATAAGTACACCAAACAAAGAAGCACCAAGTGACCTGCTGTTAAGTACTGTGGTTTCAAAGCACAAAAGTGATAGAACGAAGCGGATATCTCCAGTATTTTCCGAATTTAGTATTTTCCCATAGGCTTAACATTACGACGCAATGACCTCTAACTGACCTCAGGTCAGTGACCTCAAAAAACCCGAACTATATGTTATACAACTCGGTGAACTTAGCACATCCTGAAAGTTTGAAGGAAATCAGTCGAGAACTGTGAGTTGTACAGGTGCAAAAAGAAAGTTGAAATTTGACCATGACCTTGTACCGGTTTTTCTGACCTGGTGACCTGACCCAAGGTCACCCGGACCTGAAATTTTTCAGGTCATATGTAAAAAGGTTGCCCCATAGGCTGTGTCAAATTTGGCGGCGCTGCGCGCCGCCGCTTTTACGCTATCTTCGAAAAACCTTAGGGGGGGGGGTCGCATCGACCCCCCCCCCCCTGCCAGGGCGAGGGTTAAGACGCGTAATGATCCTCACTGATAGACCTGCACAGGCCGGCCGCTGCCCAGGGAGCAGGGAAGAGGAGAAACCCGGCGAGAAAAGGCGAAGGACGGTGCTGGAATGGTGTGTTTGTTTATTGGAGCTTTAGGGCGCACCGACTGCTGGGGTCATTTTGCGCCCATATCGGTGCAAAATGACCCCAGCATGGGCCATGGAAGGTCGGAAGGTGTTCCGGAGCGCTCAGCTCTGAAGAAGACAGACGAGGACCCCTTCTGAGAGAAACCACGAGCCGGCCGGGGCATATCGCGGCTACGGCTCTGCAGCAAATGCTGCTTGAATGACGTTGGGATGAGGGTGGAAGCCAGAGGAATGTCGAGCCAATAATGGGACCTCTCTCTGAGACCGACCAGACAATCTCGGTATATGGAGCCTGTCGGCCGCCAACCAGTGTCCCTCCACGGGAGAAAACTTGCCAGCCGAATTAAATAAGTTAGGAGCAAGCAAACTTCAACTCTTCCATTCAGAGTGCGGCATTTCCAGAAAGATATAGTCGGCGCCCTTTTGTTCGGAAAAGGCAAGTGTTCATTTGATTTAATAACGACCAAAATGCCAGAAATGGTTAAATCGACACTCACTCCTTGATTCTCAGTCACTAAACAGTAAACTGATTGGCTTCCACCACATGGTGGCAAGAGAACATGTCAAAACGGCGTGGGCAGATCAGGGACATCAGCTGAGGTAGAATCGTGTCAGGGTTCGGTCTCAACTCCGACATTAGCCTCCATGACTCAGCTTGAGTGGGAGCTCAATCTCCGCAGTGAGTCTGTGGAGACACAGAGACGGACAGTTCAAGTATCCGTACCATGGCTGGGGACGAGCATCAGCCTCCGTACCGGGGCTGGGGACGAACACCAGCCTCTGGATCAGGGCTGAGGACGGTAAGTCTGTATTCCTTGGCTGTGGCCGGGCGGACGTCAGTCTCCGCATGTAACAACAACCGGATATCATCCTTTGTGCCCGTGCATAGATAATAAAGGTGCCTGTCAACTACTCCCCGCACCAGCAATGCTCCGTCAGGCTATGCGGTTCCATGGGTATTCTAAGCATCAGCGGACTCTACATAACGTAATCCGAGGAGGCGTGACCACTGGCCAGGCCAAAGCAAGGGCCAAAGAGACTTTCAAAGGAAAAGTAATAAGTCCTTCTTCGGCAGTTGAATGGACGTCTTTTACAGGAAAGGAAAGAAGCAAAATCGATTTAAAATGGTAAGCATGACTTCAAAAGGCAAAAAAAAAAATCATGCAAATAAAGTGCCAAAAATATAATGAAATAAGTGTTATAAAATGGTAAGCAGAATTACAATCACAGCATCCAGCAAGGGGACGCCTTAAATCGTCAATGCATATTGCATATAATTATACACATCAGCACGCAATACTTCGTATAAGCCGAAAAGTGCAGGTGGCGTGAAAGCAAAGTGGAGTAGGGAGAGCCACGTCAGCGCCTCCACTGTCCAAGAAACGCCCACTCACCGGCTGCCGTTTTGGTTTTCAGACATCGGCGTCATGCGCACAACGGTGTACCGTGTGAGTGACGCTTACCCTCCGACTAGCCCTCAACCCAACTATCATCGTGTGCATGTGTTTGTGCGACTGTTTCACGAAGATATAATTAATCGCATGCACATGATCTGACCATAGTTATAGGCGCCGCGACGAGACATCAACTTTTGAATTTGACGATTTAGGACCAAACGTTTGTCGTTTCTTGGTGGTATTGATAGATCATTTGGACATTCAGTAACACCCCCACGGGGGTTAACCGATGATTTCGAGGTCAAATGCCACGCCAAAGGTCGGGAAGGGCTGTAAAACAGTCATCGATTGCCTATACTGCGCCGTTCTGGCTCAGCCAGCCGCTCAGCTATGGCGTCTCTTATCAGGAAACATCGATGGCGACAGATTCTACCTTTGGTGACCAATGTCCAAATCGTGTTTACTCGGACAAAAAATAATCATCAAATATTTTAGAAATTACACTAAGCGACCAGTTTAATCCACTACGAAGCAAAGCTACGAATAAGTGGTTAGGCACTCTGCTTCCAAGCAGGGTGTGAGAATCAAAGGGCATCGCGAGACATTGATTAATCCATTCTTCCAAAACAATTTAATGTTTTCACTTATGTCAAAGCTTTGCCTACATGTGGGAATGATGTCTGGCGCCTCAGGCACACCACAAACATAGCCTGCCTGTCCTACGCTTCAACTGGCCCGGTCCCACTCAGCGTGGCCCGGGCGGAGCGGTAGGTACTCACATCTCGAAGTGTGATGATATTCGGATGGGTGCCGTACCGCAGCAGAATTTCGATCTCCTCCAGACAGTCACTCTTGCTCTTCTTGTCTATGATCTGAAACAGATGAGAGGAGAAAGTTGTCACTCATAAAACTCCACAGAAAATCGATAGGCTTGTCTCCCAGATTTCCGCGTCTTGCGTGGTTGGACTTTCCGAGGTGTACAGGTTACCAATAAGGATGATGATAACAATTTGTGTTTAAGGGGGAGGCAGTTAATGCAAAGAGAAAAGAGCATGGGTGTCGATTTGTATACTTTTGGGGGTGCTGCAGCACCCCCAATGCTCAAATGAGCACCCCCAATGGTTTTCCGGGCACCCCCAAATGTTCCAGTCAGCACCCCCAATTATTTTGTCCCTCAATAACTCCCACTAACTCTGCTTGAGGAAAATAATTGGTTCCGCAGTCTTTCACTACCAAAAATAAAACAATTACGCAATTTACAATGCATGAAATAAAAAATGTAAAGAAAAGAAAAGTTAGTCTTAAGAAGAGGGGCGAAAAAAGACGTTAAGTTGCCGACTGCAGAGACACTGGTGTGGGTCCGTCGTACACGAGTGTCTGACCCTTAGAGCTGATAACGCGTACCCTTTACAAGCCGGCAGGGGGCTCCAGATACCGGCGACGGGCCCTCAGAGGCCGGCCATGGGCCGGCAAAGGGCCATCAGATGCCGGTGGTACCTTCAGAAACCCTGTGGGGTCGTCTTTAGAGACCGGCACGGACTCAGACGCCGATGGGGCCCTCAGAGTCGCTGGTGTGGGGCCTTCAAATGTCACCGGTGGGTGGCCGTCATATGTGCACTTGTGGGCAGGGATGCGGAGCCGTGGAAATTTCAGACGGCTCCGGCTCCGGCTCCGGAGAAAAAATCGCTCCAGCTCCGGCTCCGGCTCCGGGTGAAATGTCATTAGGACCCCGATGCCCGCGCCATCTCACCGGTCATTCTCCCCAGTTGGCTGTCAGTGGCCGGAACCACTCGCGTCGGCTCGTTTATAGGGTAGGATAGCCCCTACAAAACGATACCGCCGGAGTGATAACGACGGGATGTAGTCTGGATTGAGGATATGTAAGGTTCCACTTATTTTAAGATCGCATCTTTTAATTGGTGAGGGTGGGTGGGAAACTTCTCGCTCACTCTACGACCCTTTCGCCGCCCGTCGCCGTCGACGACTGCCGTTCGTGCCACTCCAGTCGACAGCCCGGCGGTCCCGCGGCCCGCGCCCTCCCAGACACCCCTCCGAGGGCTGCCCTGCGTCTGTCGATGGGGCGATTAGCCACGGTCACGTTCGGTGGCGCCCTGGCAGGGTCCTAACCTTCCATAGCCGCGTCGCCGCTATGAGTTGATTAGGACCCCGATGCCCGCGCCATCTCACCGGTCATTCTCCCCAGTTGGCTGTCAGTGGCCGGAACCACTCGCGTCGGCTCGTTTATAGGGTAGGATAGCCCCTACAAAACGCCAAATGCACCTAAAGGCAGCCGACGGGCGTATATGCCGTGTTGCGGATTACCCTAGGCGTCTGCAGCTCAGTGTGTCGAGTTCCAGAGGAGCCGAGGCGTCGGCGATGGACCCGGTTTACATGTCTATACTGAGTTACAGAGTAGCCGGGGCTTCGACGGCGGACCAGGGCCCAATCTTACCAAATGCCGTGAATGCGCATTCACGGCATTTGGTAACATTCAGAACTGTTACACATTCACTTATTCATTCGTTCAAGCAACATTCATAATCATTCCCGCTATCAAAATCATCGGACAAAATTAGCTGGGCATAAATAAAAGGGATGCCTATCTTTGATATGAGAGCCGTAAAATCCGGCCAGCGCTGACAAATCCTATTTACGGCATTGGTAAGATTGGGCCCAGGTGTATGGTATCGAGTTGCGAGTAGCCGAGGCGTCGGCGGCGGACACGGTGTATATCTGTCGAGTTGCAGGGGTGGCCGAGGCGTCGGCGGCACACCCCGTTTTGCCTGTCTGCGTCGCGTTGCCGGATTTTCGGGGCGTCGGCAGCGGGCCAAGGGCGTCAGTATCGGACCAGACTATCCTATCATTCATCCAGTTGCAAAGTAGCCGAGGCGTCGGTGACGGACCCGGTGTATGCCTGCCTGTCGAGTGCTAGTGGCGAGGTGTCGGCGGCAATGCTGGAATTGTGAATTTTGGTCCTGGTTCCGGAGAATAAAATCTGTTCCGGAGAACCGGCCAGCTTTAGAACACTCAGCAGGAAAATCATATATGTTTGGCCTACTAAATGTGACAGTCGATAAAATGTGTTCGCTCACTGCTATAAATGTATGTTATAGGCGTAATAATAGCAGTTTTCTTTACATAGGTTGGAAATTTCAGAAATTTCAGGTGCCGGAGTATAAATTTGTAAAGAAGCACAAAATCGTTTTGACCCGACTGGGACCAGCAAAGGGCCTTATTACCAACCCTGGCCGGCGGCGGACCAGGTGTATGTCTATCCAGTTGCAGAGTGGACGAGGCGTCGGCGGCCGACCGGAAGCAGAATGTCGAGTTGCAGACCAGCCGGGGCGTCGGCGGCGGACCGAGTGCATAATGTTGAGTTGCAGAGTAGCCGGGAGGTCGGCGGCGGACCATGTCTTCGAGTTGCAGGGTTGCTGAGGCGTCGGCGGCCGACCAGGTGTAAATATCGAGCTGCTGAGATACCGAGGCGTCGGCTACGGATCATGTGTACATGTCAAGTTGAACAGTGGCCGAGGCGTCGGCGGCGGACCAGATGTAAAGTATCAAATTGCTGAGATAGTGTAGACCGGAGCAAGTCGCCCGGCCGGGGTAAGACGCCTCGCCGATGCTCTTCGAACTGGCAAGGTTCTGGGGAAACCATCCTCTCTTCTATAAAACGTGCACTATATGATCGTTATATGGGCCGACTGGAAGTAAATTGTGATAACTCTTGAGGGAGATGTAGCCAAGATGTGTGTGTGTGTGTTTTTTTTTTGTAATTTTGATGTTTTGTTGTCTGATGATGCATCGTGGCGTTCTTTTATGGTCCACGTCAGGTTAACGACTTTATGCATCCTGAACAACTATTGTCTAACGCTTATAACGCCGGGTTAATTCGTGTTAAATTATGTCTTGCTAGAGCGCATGGCGCTGTTTTCTGACCGAATTACGTGATGGGGTAAAGCGCCCCAGTACGTCGCGGGGCAAAAACCCCATCGGGCGTTTTACCTCATGTGCTGTTCGGACTACCCCCTTTTCTAATGTTTGGTAGCTGGCGAACAGTAAGTTTCTATGCCTTTGTATGCATTTTTCTCAGTGACTGGAAGGCAAAAGAAGTATTTTGTTAACATAAGCATTGCAGTAATTTATTAATTGGCCTTATGAGGCAGGTGAGAAACCTGCTCATACAATAGTGTCATAGCTGCACACCTGATAGGATGGAATGTGCTAATTTCAGTGCCGTGCCTCCCGAGGTCTAACGGACCTCTCATATAACATTTAGCCAACTACCACATTAAATCTTTAGTCTAGAGTAAGGGGCTACTTGCCCCAGGCCGTGGGGCGTTTTGCCCTGGAGTCGGTATTGCCGAGGAGTTGGCGGCGGACCAGGTATGAGTTATTACCGTGTTGCAGAGGGCCGGGACGTCGGCGGCGGACTGATGTATGTGCATTCGGTGTTGCAGAATGACCGAGGCGTCGGCGGCGGACCGATGTATGTGGATGAGATGCAGTGTGGCCGAGGCGTCGATGGCGGACCCGTTATGTGTTCTTACCGTGTTGGTATGAGTTATTACCGTGTTGCAGAGGGCCGAGGCGACGGCGGCGGACCGATGTATGTGCATTCTGTGTTGCAGAATGGCCGAGGCGTCGGCGGCGGACCGATGTATGTGGATGAGATGCAGTAAGCTGTTAGTATGAGTTATTACCGTGTTGCAGAGGGCCGAGGCGTCGGCGGCGGACCGATGTATGTGCATTCCGTGTTGCAGAATGGCCGAGGCGTCGGCGGCGGACCGATGTATGTGCCTGAGTTGCAGAGTGGCCGAGGCGTCGGCGGCGGACCGATGTATGTGCATTCTGTGTTGCAGAATGGCCGAGGCGTCGGCGGCGGACCGATGTATGTGGATGAGATGTAGTATGTAGTGTTAGTATGATTTATTACCGTGTTGCAGAGGGCCGAGGCGTCGGCGGCGGACCGAAGTATGTGCATTCCGTGTTGCAGAATGGCCGAGGCGTCGGCGGCGGACCGATGTATGTGCATTCCGTGTTGCAGAATGGCCGAGGCGTCGGCGGCGGACCGATGTATGTGGATGAGATGCAGTGTGGCCGAGGTTCCGGCGGTGGACCCGTTATGTGTTCTTACCGTGTTGGTATGAACACATAACGGGTTGGTATGAACACATAACGAACACATAACATGTTGGTATGAACACATAACGGGTCACATAACACATAACACATACCACATAACACAACGGAACACATAACACATAACACATAACCGTGTTGCAGAGGGCCGAGGCGTCGGCGGCGGACCGATGTATGTGCTTGCGTTGCAGAGGGCCGAGGCGTCGGCGGCGGACCGATGTATGTGCATTCTGTGTTGCAGAATGGCCGAGGCGTCGGCGGCGGACCGATGTATGTGGATGAGATGTAGTATGTAGTGTTAGTATGAGTTATTACCGTGTTGCAGATGGCCGAGGCGTCGGCGGCGGACCGATGTATGTGCATTCCGTGTTGCAGAATGGCCGAGGCGTCGGCGGCGGACCGATGTATGTGGATGAGATGCAGTGTGGCCGAGGTTCCGGCGGTGGACCCGTTATGTGTTCTTACCGTGTTGGTATGAGTTATTACCGTATTGCAGAGGGCCGAGGCGTCGGCGGCGGACCGATGTATGTGCATTCTGTGTTGCAGAATGGCCGAGGCGTCGGCGGCGGACCGATGTATGTGGATGAGATGCAGTATGCAGTGTTAGTATGAGTTATTACCGTGTTGCAGAGGGCCGAGGCGTCGGCGGCGGACCGATGTATGTGCATTCCGTGTTGCAGAATGGCCGAGGCGTCGGCGGCGGACCGATGTATGTGCCTGAGTTGCAGAG